CCCCCCAATGGGGATCGAGCTTACAACCTGGGCATATGCCCTGACCAGGAATCAGACTGTGACCTTCTGATTCATAGGTTGATGCTCAACCTCTGAGCCATGCCAGTTGGACAGCAAACCAGATTTCCATTGCCACTGGGGAAATCAGAAATGATGCTTGTATGAATTTAATGTAAAACTTTGGAATTCTAAAAAACAAAAATTGCACCATTTATTCATTGATGTTTATTGAATAAAAGGGCCCTGAGCACCTACTCTGTGCCAGGTCTTTGTGCTCCAAATATAAACAAACATATTTCTGAGCCCTAAGAAGCTCACAATCTAATGTGGGAGATGAAATACACATCCTTAAAGTGACCTAAGCGCTGGAAGAATTAAGTACAAACTCTGGGATAATGGTAAGTAGGAAAGACTTGTGGAAGTGGGTTTTAAGCAGAATGTGGAATTATTTGAAGGGTGAGTAAAAATCTGTACACAGACAAGGCTTGAGAGACATGGGAAGCAAAGGGAAGGCAGTGCAAAGACTTGGAAACAGTAGTTGGAGTGAAATACCAACAGGTGCTTGAGGAATAGTAAGTTGAAAATGACTGCACCCAGGGCACCGGAAGAGGACTTAGAGAACAGGAAACAGAAAAGGTATATATTTTTGGGACAAAAATATCAAATCATACAAATAAAACAAAAGTCCCCAATTGCTCCCTTAATTCCACTCTGCTCCCTCGAAACACAAACTCTTATTTTGCTGTGAACTCTTTGTATCTATAAAATGCACATACACTTTTCAATCTCCCCAACCCATTGCCGAAACCGGTTTGGCTCAGTGGTAGAGCGTCGGCTTGCGGACCGAAAGGTCCCAGGTTTGATTCCGGTCAAGGGCATGTACATTGGTTGCGGGCACATCCCCTGTGGGGGGGCTACAGGAGGCAGTTGGTCGATGTATCTCTCTCATTGATGTTTCTAGCTCTCTATCTCTCTCCCTTCCTCTCTGTGAAAAATCAATAAAATATATTTTTTAAAATTCTTAAAATAAATAAATAAATCTCCCACCCTATACTGGTCTCACACGGTATGAACTGTTCTGTAATTTGCTTTGAGCATTTACTAATATATTGTATATTGAAGATCTTCCCAAATCAAAAGCTTTACTTCTCCAGTCCGATTGTCTTCCACTAAAGAAAAGATCACTCTTGTCAGCAAAACAAAGAGTGGGCTGTAGACGGCTGGGCTGGAGGCAGGCGATAAGTGAGCGGAGGCAAGTGGAAGAGTCCAAGAAAGAAGAGTCCCCTGGCCTGAGGGCCATCGGAATGGCATTTGGTATGGGCAGGCGGGGGGGGGGGGGGGGGGTGGGGGGTGGGGGGGGGGGGTGGGGGGTGGGGGTGTCGGACAGAGAACTATCAGGAGACAGAGTGTAAAGAACCAGGTTGGAGAGGCTCTGGAAGGATGGAAAGGGGAAGATCCGGTCTGTACCTGTTTAAGTTGGCAGACTGAGCCTGTTTGTGTATGGGGCATGGCATGTGGACTCACTGTTAGGAACTGGCAAGTCCGAGGTGTCTGTGAGCACCAGTGTGCCTGGGTCAGGTGTTCAGGGAATTCAGTCAATACTCTCCAGGCCTGATGTGTGTGACTAACATTCCTCAAAGTGCTTCTCCAGGGGTGGCAGAGAGGGGCAGAGCCAGCATGAAGGAACGGAAAAAGGCAGGGCCTTGGTGTCAGACTTAGGTTCCAGTTCTAGCTCAGCTTTGCCAGCAATATGACACTGGATCTTTTTTTTTTTTAATTTTATTTTTTTAATTAATTTCTTTATTGATTAAGGTATCACATATTTGTCCTCAATCCCCCATTCCAATCCCCTCTCCCCCACCTCCCTATTGTCCTTGACCACTGGTTAGGCTCATATGTGTGCACATAAGTCCTTTGGTTGATTTCTCCCTTTTATCCTCACCCTCCCTTTGAGGTCCATGACACTGGACCTTTATGAGCCTGTGTTTTTATCAGTAAAACAGACTTAATACCCACGCTCTAAAGTTCCTGGAGCCGTACACGGAAAAGCACTGGGGTACGTGGTCCCTGCGCCATGCACTCAATCAAGAGCAGCGGTGGGTTTTATATACAAAGCATTCTGCATGCAGGGAGTGGAGCGGTGGGTTTTATATACAAAGCATTCTGCACGCAGGGTGCGGAGCGGTGGGTTTTATATACAAAGCATTCTGCACGCAGGGAGCGGAGCGGTGGGTTTTATATACAAAGCATTCTGCATGCAGGGAGTGGAGCGGGTGGCCGGGAAGGTGGAACCAGAGATGACACCTGCGCTGGTGTCAGAGCAGAAGTCACCCGGGCGGGCTTTGAAAGATGCGAGTGCGGCAAGCACTGCCAGTCTTCCAGGAAAGGCAATGAATGAGCCGGCTGTCGGGGACAAACCAGCTGGAATGCAGGCGTGCGAAGTGGGAGGGGGCGAGGTGGGGGTAAGGAAAGCCCCGACAGGCAGCCGGGAGCTCCGGGCGGGGTCAGCGCACTCCCGGAGGGTGGGCCGGCCGGCGGGCTCCCGGGTCCTCTCCCCGCACCCGCCTACCTCGGGGGCCACGCCGCCGCCCGCGCTGTAGTTCTCGGAGATGAGCTGGTCCAGCAGCAGGTGGATCTCCGTGCGGGAGGCGCTGCTGTCGTCCGGGCGCAGGGCGCGCAGCCTGGCCGACAGGCGGCGGAACCCGGCGCCCTGCTCCCGGGGCGGCTCCCGCGGCGCCTCCCGCGGCGGCCCGCCCAAAGGGGAGCCGGCCATTTGCACGGTCGCCATGTTTCCTGCGTAGAGCGCGGGCGGGAAATACTTCCGGGGCATCCTGGGCTCCGCGCTCCACTTCCGGGAACGCCTTCTTTAGAGCCGAACCCGAAGCGTTAGGGTTCCAAGACTCGGGGGAACAGATCCTGAGACGTGCTCTGCAAATACATACCTGCCACATTTAAGAAATTTGCTTCTGAGCAGGAATGACATGCGTGTTGAGGGCCAGAGTTTCAGATTCGGGCTAGAGTTGGAGAGGGAGGGGCCGTGGTGGATGGCAGTGGCGGAAACCGCTAGCTCTACTCCATTCCTCTTCTTACGTCTTACCACAGCCCCTGACTTTTTCCCAGGCACAAACCTGCCCTGAATAAGGTTACGTTCCCCAGTATTCCTTGCGGCTGGTTGGGAACCCCCGCTGTGGATTTTGAGACATCTCGCCATACAAGGAATTCAGGAGTTCAAACCCGTCTAAGGGTGACCTGGTTGAGATTGGACACCCCCAAGGTTTCCTGAAAACTTAAAAGGAAAATGCTAGAAAAGAAAAGAGCCATTAAAAAAAAAATCTTTATTGTTCATATTATTACAAATGTTCCTCATTTCCCCCCCCCCTCCATCGCTCCCCTCCACCAGGTTCCCACCCCACCCTCTGCCCTTCTCCCCCCCTCCCCCCTGTCCTCATCATTAGGTGCACAGTTTATGTTCAGTCTCTTCCCGCACCCCCCACTCCATTTTCCCTGAGAATCGTCAGTTCACTCGAAAAGAGCCATTTTTAAAGCTGTGAACAGTTTTCAGTACCCCAAGAGGTGAAGCCTTGGTGTTTACATTTGGGTAGACTGGGAAAAACCTTCGAGTTATGCAAATAGAAAGCCAATTCTCACCCATGGCTCTTGGGGGGGGGGGGGGAACCTTGAAGTCACCTGAATGTACATGTTTTATCCTGAGAATAAAGCACTTCTGTTTAGCAATGAAAATTGGGAGTATGTTCTGGAAGAACTAATTCTCTGACGACTTCGGGCTTCTTTGGGGAGAAATATTTATTATTTGTTTGAATTTAGATTTCATTATGCTTGCTATTATTACATTGGGATGTGTGTATATGTATGTAATGTATGTATATGTATTTGTGATATTTAACCATTTGCTCAGAGGAGATCAGGAATTGACATCTAGTCACTGATGTTTTAGTTGGAGTTCTCATAAAGCAGAGCCTCAGTTAAGGTTAGTATGTGAGTGAATTATTCAGGAATGAACATGGAAGAAAAGAGAATCAATACAAATATTTGCTATTGAGTTGGCTAATGCATGGGTGATGATTCCCCAATCCTCAAGACTTTCTGAGAAGCCTTTCAGAATGCTATCTGGATAGGTTCCCCAAACCCCACCCCAGGAATGGAAAGGGTAACCACATACTATCTGTAAGTCTCTGACTTCTATTGCCAAATGTTGCCCCATCAAGCATGAATTCTCAGTGCTTCTGAGTAGAGCAATCATCAGTATGTGATGGCTCCTGCAGGAATCTCTTATTGTAGTCAAAGAAGCCCCAAGGCAAAAGTTGGAGGTGTGGTGTACTAGAGTGCCAATTCAAGGCAAGGCTCACCAGTTATTTTATGGTAAGCTGAGAGATGACTGAGATAAGCTGTAGCAATGATCACAATAGGAATGCAAGGGGAAGAGTATTTGAAGCAGTGCCTAAGAGAAGTCCAACATACTGGGCTAGAAGGGTGGGAAGCCTGTTTATCATCACAGTGGAAGTGGCATAAAAGAGACTGTGAAAAGGATTTAGGTTTGGCGTGGCTCATCTTAGGTTGCATGGGATTATAGTTAAGACCCTGATACATATGACTTTGAATAAATTACTTAATTCTCCCAGTGGTAGGCATCCAGTCCTGCTACTTACCAGTGTATTGCCTTGGAATAGGGTATCTCCACAGGTGCTTCTGAGTCTTTCCCTAATGAAGGCTGCTACTATAGGCCTGCTATTTGCTAGAAGGTCATTTTTTTCTTGATCAAAATCATATTCACAGAACACTTGAGAAAACATTGTCATGCCCTTTGCCCTGTTAATGGACATGAGCATGGAAAGAGGAAAGAAACCAGCTGGCACTTGCCTCTCAACTCTGCTGAATACATTGTATTCATGGACTTGGTACAGGGCACACAATCTATTTTGTTCATCCACAGAGGGTCCAATAGAAAGAATGTCTAAAGGGAAATGATGACACAATCTCAATAATGCCACAGATAAGATTTATTTTGGACACAAGCTCTTTATAATCGGTCACTCCATCACTTTAGATCTTTATCTTCTGGGGCTGCAAGCCAAGGGATAGATACTTGCCAGGAATGATGTGTGGAAAATGTTATGTGTGTGGATTCATGAGAAACCTTCTGGGTCTGGTCTCCAGGCTCGATTATACCCCCCATACTTCTTCTTCATTGTCATCAACAAAGTCGTCAACATCATCCTTTTAAAATATATATTTGGTCATGACATTTCCTCTGCTCAGAAACACCCTGCAGTCTACCAAACAGCTCATTCCTTTCCGAACCCTGGTTTGGATGATCCTCTACTGAGATGAACTTCTACAGAGCACAATCTCAATCACTTTCTTATCTCCAGTGTAGGGCCAACATTTCCCCATCATCTGTACTGCCCTTCCTCACTGTGGCAAACTTTATGCCTCCTTTAAGCTCTTCCTTAAATGTTCTCTACTCTCTGACAAGCTTTCCGACCCCCACTGATCCACCCCACCCAGGCAAAACCAATGAACTCTTCCCTGTACTTCCACAGATCTTAGTAGAACTTTGTACAAAGCTGTGGTCACCCTGGGTTGTAATTACTTACATAGTTCTGTCCCTGAGCTAGCTGTGTTTATCTTTTTACTTCAACTTCAGCACAATGCCTGACTGACACAGGAGATACTCCATAATTGACCATTTTCTAGGAAGAGTTAAGGCCCCCTTGGTGGGAAAGGGAAAGGAGGTGACACACCCTGGGTCAATAATGACCTGTGAATCTAGGACCATGGTCACTTGTCTCAATTGAGAGTTCCCTCAGGACAAAGACAGGGATAGGGCTTCTCTCCGAGGAGAGGGTCTTAGATAATGCAGCCAGGTGTCCTTCTGCCATTCACTTCCAGCCTCTTTCTCTTGGAGTTACCCAGATTCTTGTGTGCAGTGGACACGTGAACATCCATCAGCCCCAGGAAAGTCCACTGGGGAGTAGTTAACACCCTTGTCAGCTCTTGATTGATTTAGACTCACCACATGGATAGCAGGTAGGCATGCATGGCCACATCCAATGCTGCAGCATTTCATTCCCTTGGGACATGAGTTATCTCCTGAGCACTTTTCAACACAAACCCCACCGGTTTCTTTGGGCACCTTGGGGCAGAGTCCAGGTCTGTTCCCCCCTGAAACATACAATGGTGTTTGTGGAGTATGGGGTAGTCACTAACCAGGTATAAAAACTGCTGTTAGAGGTTGATGGGCTCACTGCTGGCAGGACTCCCACTTCTTCCATTTTTCCTTTGTACTCCTGAGCCCCTCCCTCAGCCTCGGCAGCCCCACTCTCAAACTGAAGCCCCCATTTTCATAGTCAAGCCCTTAGGAGAATTTTCTCCCTGCTGCAAAGGCTGCCTGGTCCCATGGGCAAGAATCCTGCTGTCATAGCCTCTTCTTTCCACCTTAGACGATGTTAGAAAAATCTCTGATCCCAGACATCCATCATCCCCCCTCATCCATACACCGTGTTCATCCGGGGCTACACCTGTGAGAGCCCTATTCCCAAGGCACATCTAGAGAGCACCCCAACTTTTAATAAAGCCCAGCCTGAGCTGATAAGAAGAATGGGGCCCTGGCTGGTGTGAATCAGTTGGTTAGAGCTGTGGTCAGCAAACTGTGGCTCGAGAGCCACATGGGGCTCTTTGGCCCCTTGGGTGTGGCTCTTCCACAAAATGCCACGGCCTGGGCGAGTCTATTTTGAAGAAGTGGCATTAGAAGAAGTTTAAGTTTAAAGAATTTGGCTCTCAAAAGAAATTTCAATCGATGTACTATTGATATTTGGCTCTGTTGACTAATGAGTTTGCCGACCACTGGGTTAGAACATTGCCCCATATACTGAAGGTTTGCAGGTTCAATCCCCTCTCAGGGCATGTATGGTAAGCACCCAATCGATGTTCTCTCTCTTCTCTCTCTCTCTCTGTCTCTCCCTCTCTCTCTGTCTCTCCCTCTCTCAAATCAATTAGCGTATCTTCAGGTGAGGATTAAAAAAAGAAGAATGTGAAATGCAGATTGATCACTCTGATGGTTAAAGAAAGTGGGTCTGATCAATGCCCAATCTCCACTCTGCAGCCTGCTTCTGTGCCACACCATCACAAGGAAGAAGCTGGGCTCTGAGCCTCCTCTGCTCTCAGGTAGAACCCCCTCAGCACCCTTACCTTCATGAGGACGTCTCTGAGCAAAGGCCATCTCCAACCCCAAGATGATGGAAGCCACTAGGACAAAGACTGTGCCTGTCTTCATGTTGGCCTTTGATGTGAATGCACGCACTGAGCCCAGCCCCAATATATACCCTCAGTGTCACCAGAAAGGAGTGTGGGGTGGGGCAGTAGAGCAGGAAATGTACAGCATGATCTATTTCATAACTGATGTCTCTCTAACTAGGTTAAGTTTTCTTGTAGATGCAAGTCCAAGCAAGATTGCTCATTGCTACTTCACAACTTGGCACTGGTTTCCCTAGTGTCATTAGAAAAAGTGGTCAAAGAAAAGAATTTTCTGTGTATAAGTTAGAATTGCAGAGTGAAAGCTTAAACTATGAAGCTAGGTATTATTCCACCTGGTGCCTCCTGGAGATCCCGTTTCAGGAGAATTCAATGTGCTTCTGGGAGAGATGGTGAAGGGGTTGTGCTTTGGAGCCATCCCAGGGCTGAGATCCCTAAGTAGGGTTGGAATGAGGGCCACCCCATATCCACAAAGGCAGGTAGTAAAGTTGCTCCTGTGAGGAGATGGATGTTCAAAGATCACAAGCTGGCAGGGCCCTTGGGGACTGAGAGACAGGGTCTACTCTTGATGGCTGGTGGTCTCTGAGACTATCCTGCTCCATACTGAGAAGTCCCTAGAGAGAGGCCTGTATGGGTGAGCTACAGTGAACTGAAAAGACTGTTAATAGTTGCACAGGGGCCTGAGAAATTATCCCAATTACAGAATTTCAGAGAAGGGGGTATAGAGGTAAAACTCCAATGACTATAGAAATGAAGAGAAGCCTGCTTTGTCCTTGGTGGTCAGATCTGGACAAACACCTCATGAGCACCTACAGGGAGGCCTGGAGAAGGTGCTCTAAGAGCACAGGAACACTAAGCGAGCCAAGAGAGGGGGGCTCAGACCAGCCATCCCAGGTGGTTCGCTCACACCCAGCATCTCAGACTCTTTGGATGCCCAAAGGCTACAGCATCCAGGAACATTCAGTCTGAAGGAGGGACCAGAGTACATGGCAGCCCAGGACAGGGTGGAGATCTATTGCCCAAGGAGCACAGAGCACAACAAAGAGCAAGTCCAAATGCAAATCCGAGGTGTCTGGCCAAGTGCTACTCCAGCACTTGGAGTTGCCAGTATGAAGCAAGGGTAGTTATAGCCCATAATGGTTTCGCTTAAGTCTGCATTTTAAGAGTGGGAGCTGCAAGATTGCAAAGGAGGCCTCCTTTCAATAACAACGATACTTGGCCTTCATTAAGCGTGCGATTATACATCAGCACCTGAGTCCACTTCACACCTGTCATCTTGCTGAAGCCTCATAAGCTGTGGGGTCGTTTCCAGTGGCAGCCACATGTCACAGATGAAGGGACTGGACCTGGAAGGAAGTCCATGTTTTGCAAACACTTGGACCCCATCTCAGACCCACCAATGGGGAACTGCCAGTGGGGAAGTTCAGAAAAGCTCCTCAAATGTTTTCATGTACATGGCAGTGAGGAACACGTCACCTCCCTGATAAAACTGTTATTTCTGGGCAGAGCTAATTGGAAACCTGGCAAGTACTCAGAACATACTACTACTTGATAATATCCAGGTGTCTGCAGCAACCATCAGACATATATAAACATATTGAGTGAGGAACAATATAGAGGTTCCTCAAATAATTAAATATTGAATTACCACATAATCCAGCAATTCCACTTCTGGGTTTATACCCAAAGATTTGGAAGCAGGATCTCAAAGAGCTATTTGTACACTCATGTCTATAGCTGCATTATTCATAAGCTAAACATGGAAACAACCCAAGTGTCCATTGACCAATAAATGGATAAGCCACATGTAGTATATAAATATAAGGGAATGATACTTAGCCTTAAAAAGGAAGGACGTTCTCCAATATGCCACAACATGTTAAGGATATCATGTGAAGTGAAATAAGCCAGTCACAAAAAGACAAATACTGTGTGGTTCCACTTGTATGAAGTACTTAGAGAGGTCAAATCATAGAGACAGAAAGTATAAAGGTGTTTGCAAGGAGCTGGTGGGGAGGAGAGAATGGGGAGTTATTATTTAATAGGTATAGAGTTTCAAATTTACAAGATAAAGAGTAGTGGGGATGGGTGGTGGTGATGGCTATACAACAATGTGAATGAATTTAATACCACTAAACTATAGGTTTAAACATTATTATGATGGGCCAAGTTGCAGGCATGATTCCCAGGAGGGGGTGTGCAGGAGGCAGCCAGTCTGATTGTCTCTCATCATTGATGTTTCTATCTCCCCCTCCTTCTCTCTTCCTCTCTCAAATCAAGAAAAAAATATATTTCAAAAAATAAATAAAAATGGTTATGATGATAAATTTTGTTATGTGTTGAGGGGAGGGACCCACTTTGAACCTCACCCAATGGTTGTTGAGGGGCAGGTCCCACTTCCAACATCAACCAATGGTTATTGAGGGGTGGGACCCACTGCCAATCTCACCCAATGGTAGCTGAGGGGCGGGACCCACTCCCAACCTCATCCAATGGTAGCTGAGGGGGGGGCCGACCCACTGCCAATGTCATCCAATGGTTTTTGAGGGGCGGGACCCACGCCCAACCTCAACTAATGGGGTTCGAGGCGGGACCCACATTCAACCACAAGTGAATGCTGGTACCCTGCTGGAATTGGACTCTAGACTTGTGATTCCCTAGTCTTTCCCTAACAGCCTTTTTCTGTTGGAGGATCTACCCAGAAGCCCGCACTGCTTTTAGCCCCGACTGTGCAGTGTCTCCCAATGGTGTTTGTTTTTAAGGATCTTGACGAGCTTGGAGGATGCTGTGTGGAGAGGGGACTACAGCATTTGGACAGGGTCAAGACTGGAACTCATGAGAGGACCTAGTCCTCTCTAGGCCATGTGCATCTTCATCCAGGGCCAGATGAGGAGGGGATCGGGGTGTGGGATGGAGTCACTAACAGGGAGGCTTTGGAGCGACTGGAGAGAGTAGTGCATCAGCCACGATGCCCATGGTCGCTGCCCCGGCTCGCCCGCGCGTCCCTCTCTGCTCTGTGGCCCGGCAGGGACCTTCCTCCTGCCGGGCTGGACCCACGCACCCTCCCGTGCCCGCAGGAGGGGTGGTCGGACCCAGGGAGGGAGTGAGGCCAACAGGCGGGCAGGATGTGGAACTCCCTCTGGGCACAGCAAACCGGCCTCTCCCAAGACGAGCCTGCCTCGGGTTATCTGACTGCCTCCAGCTTCTGGAAACCTGGATTGAGAATGGCAACCCCTCAGCCATCGCTTGTAGAGATCACAGACTCAGCTCCCAGGTTCCCTCCACCACTGCCACCTCCTGGGAAAGGTCCCGGCCGGCCTCCTTCCAGGAGGAAGCTCAGGTCAGCCCGTCTTTCCCACCCCTGTTCAAGACAGTGAGGATTAGGGGCGGCCCCCTGGGGTGAAAGGTCAGGGCTGTTTGCTGCTGGGGGGGCCCTCTGCACTCCTGGAGCTCACTTATCCAAGCTGGATTCCAGCATGTGCATGCGCTCTGGGGTGGGCCTTCTCTCTTATTTCAAATTCTTTTTAATCTTAAAATGAAAATTTAAAATTAAAGAGAAGCTAAGATGCTAACATGGGCAGAAAACAAACAAACAACAAAAACCCAGCTCCCAGAGCTGCCTCAAATCCAGACATTTCTGTGTTTATTGCAAACCAAGGAGCCTGAGGAGAAGCAGCTCTGACACACGAGTCTCCGTCTGCACTTTCGATTATTCCTTAGGGGACCCCTCTCCCCTGTTATTTTTATTTTCTTTTTAGGGCTTTGTTTGTATTTTTGACATTTTCTGTAATAAGCATGGATTTTTATCTTTTTTTTTTTTTCCTTTTTAATCCTCACCCGAGGATATTTTTA